TCGATTATAAACAGGTATCAACACAGCACCATTTCCTGTAAAATAGAATGCGCCACCACGTAACTTCCTGTTTCCCAACGATTTACAAAACCCTGTATTCTTTATTTGTGGAAATCGCTTGGTTTCGTTTTAATGGTTTTTGTCACAGAAATTATTTTTTTGTAGACTGATTGTTACGTTTGCCCGTAACAGAGAGAAAACCACTCAAATAACGGTACCAGATCCCTTGATGAAAGCAAGAACTGACCTTCCCAGACGAATACAAGAACAAGACCAGAGCTCGTGTAGAGGGCATTATTCACGTCAGCCACGTGCGGAGTGCAGTATAAAAAGTGAAACTAATTCAAGTCAGGGTTGACCTTGACCTGATAAAAAGCGTAATAAAACACATGTTAGTGAATTAGTGTAAATTGTGCCAGAAACCAACGACGAGCTATCTTGGGATATCGTGGATCCCCAGCACAGATGTTGGCTGATTTTTAGCCTTTATTCACCGAAGGTTTCGCAGTGTCTACAGAGAAATATGTGGTCTGTCATTGTGGAAGTGTTTCATGGTTTTGCGGGTTTTAGCATTTTAGGTTGGGTGAGTTGTTCACAGAATTTTACCGTAGTTATTACTTAGTTGTGAAAAAGATGCTTGTTGATATTTATGCCAGTGCAATTCCTAAACCTACTCTTTAATTAGACGCGGCAATGTGTCCACTCATTCATCGCCATGTCGACGTTTTGAAATCAGTCTTCAATCAAACGCATTTTTGGAAATACATATAATAATCTTCATCTGTCAATGCATCTACCGTCATTTCGATTTTAGTGCAGTGACACCTCTACAAACCTCTGTTTAGAGAAATTGAGAATACTTCATCGAACCTTCACAGATCCTTAAATCCGTCAAGACTCAAGGCATGGAACATTTGATGACCGATTACCGAAGAGGTCGCTGCCACTGTATGCGCTTAAACATTTCACCAAAACTTTCTCATTTCCTGCCCGATTTTTTTCATAATTCATTGTCGAAATGTAGATGTTCTGGGTTGGGAAGGGTTAGCTTGAGCATTCTTTGAAATCGCGGTTTTATTAACCGATTTTGGACCACACACACGAAGCAAGATTGCTTAGGATTCGCAGATGGTCACAACCATGCATACAGGTGCACCAATCGACTAATTAAAAAACCAATTAATGTGTCAATTAACCTATAATTTTAAATCACTGATTTAATTGTGCAACGCTGAATTAAAGAGAAGAAGAACAGACAGAGGGCATTATCTATTTATTCGCAATCGTCATCACAGAGAAATTAAAATAAAAGCTAGATAATGATCACCAGGAATGCCAGCATAGGCCAATGATGGTAAAAATTAAGGGAAGAACTGAGGAAATAATTTTGTTATAAAAAAACTGAAATGCTAAAATGGTTCGTTTTTCACTGCTGATTGCTAGTTGGAGGGTAGTTTCTGTGTAGTGCTCTCTAAAACAACGAATAATGCAGATTGAATTAACAGATCGTGGAATTGCCGCATCAACCAGGCTTTATTACTCTGGTGCATATTACTAAAATTATTTCAGCATAATTAAACTAAACTCATTCACTTGTAGTAGACGCCACCAAAAACATTTTAGCTGCATTGCTGCATACCATTTCTATATTATTATAAGAAATAAGGTTACTGATGCGTATTTTTGTTTAAATGATGACAATTAATGAGCCCAAAGGCCTGCAACTTGCTGCAAAATGCCTAAGTTCCGATTGGCTGAATTAAAGAGGAGGCTACTCTGATTGGTCAATTGTCTTTGGACTAATATACGGGGGAGTGCTGCTTATTGCCAGGGGGAAATATATGTGAGTCTGCGTTTTATGAAAATCCAGATGCTGAAGACCTATTTTTTTCTCAAGCTTAAATAAGTGAATTTAAAAAAAAGACGTCTATTGTTAAACAGCGCGTTAAGTAGGTAGTAGCGATGGTTTTTTGTAATTTAACGGAATGATTTTTTTTCAAAGACACCATCTTTATTTTGTTTTATTTAAATTATGAAATTAAGAAACCTGGACGAACGATTATCGAGTCATATTTATTGAGTTTTCTATGTATTCGGCTTATTTCCTATTGACTATTTATCTCATACCATTCATTGCAACAAATGACATGGTCATTCTTTGTTCACTGATCCACATTATTTGAAGTAGAACGTCGTGAACACCAGAAAAAATGAAGTGTACTCCATCAAAGACTCACGTTTACACGATCAAATTCGTGGTTTCCAGCACATTCAATGAAGGAGTGACTTCTACGAGCTCCCATAGGGCGATGACTGAGGTCTGAAAAAAAAATTGAAAATATCTGGAGGTATTTGATATCTGCTACATTCGAAAAAAAAATCCAACAGGCCTGATGAAAACACGCAGTGTCAAAATGCCCGAAATCGACCAATGAGTAAACAAACATGGCCTTAGTAACTCATGGCGACACGTACGCCTAATTTGGAATGAGTCAGGTTTGTCACGGGATTGGATAAATTGTTTTGTGCAATTGTGTTCCTCGTTCAGGGTTTTTGAATTCAAAAATCCGCTGTTTTGAGCTACGCAGCTGAGTGAATGCGAGTGTACTTTGTTTTAATTTGCTTATTTTATGTAATGTGCGCAATATTTATGACCACGCCCTCACGAACTGATGGCGCGGCTTCAGATCGCGCCACATTAATTTACCTGACACCAATGCAAACACGGCCACAGTAAATTCAAATTCATTTGGCTTTCACCTTAGAAAATAAACACGCGATTGCCGGAAAGGCAGATTTCAAAACCACCGAATTTTTTGCAAAAATTGTTTGCGGCGGAATGAAGTCGAGTTCTGCGAGGTGATGAGATCGAATTACAGACCGGAAAGGTGATGTGGCTTAATTTAAAATTCGAAAAAATGACCATGAATTTTAGTATAAACACGAACATGACTTCTGCATAAACACTGGAGACGAATGTAAATCACATTAAACCGAACAACGTAGGGTTTTGAGATGAGAGATGTTTGATTCACGAAGAAGAAAATTGGGCGCTTTTTGCTCTGTCCATCTGAATACTCTGGCCAGCTCACACACTGCATCAGATCCACGTTTATTTATGTATCTGGTGAACTTGTGAGTTACTGCGGTCATTCCGCATAATTACGGCGCCGCATGTCAAAGCTGCCAGGAAGCGTCTTGTTGAACCTGGTGTGTGTGTGGTCCAGCTGACTCCACGGGAGATTCGATCACAGATTCGATCAAACAACCATCTGCATAAAAATGTCACCACGGTTTTTCCAATTTTGCTACATCGAACTCGACAGGTGCAAATATTCCTTCCATGCAACTTGCATATTCACTTCTATGGCTTCAAACTGCTGAAACAGTAAACTGAAATATCACAATGTCCACAATAAAGAAATAATCCTTTGTGAACAAGGCTTGAATGAGTCATTCCAAAGCTCGTAATTCTACTTATGGTATAACTAAGGCTTGTAGCAACAAATATCGACCTTAATCATATATTTTTAAACTGTAGCCCATTGGGAGGAAGAGTTTTAGAATTTGGACGCAAATGCGAATTACAAGTTCGTTTGATTGGCCTGCGAATATTACCCCGTAAAATGCTCATTTGCAGTATCAGTTGAGTGAGTGTAGGTGCGCGGTTGTCATGGCGCAAGATGACGCCTTTTAAGTTGACTACACCAGAAGGTTTTTCTTGGATTCCAACACTGATTTGGATAAATTGATCAAAGAACGTAAGTACAGTTATTGGTTGGCTACAGGGATCAAGATTGTACAAATACATTTCTCTGGATGTGGCCGTTCAGCATTTGCTGTCGATTCTGCTCTCCCATTTCCAAGCCTTCAGCTTCATTCCCCTGTTGTGTTGGATCAGTTGAAAGAGTTCTGTCCTACCGTGCAGAACTCAAATACCGAGTCTCAATGAGCATGTTAGGTTTCTTAAACTGCATTGCGTCTCTCAGAAATTCATAAATTCAGGTTAAGATGCGATGTTAGATGTTATCAAGACTATTCGACAACAAGTCGGTATATACGGTTATCTTTGAGGTAATTTTTGACATCATAGTTGTTGAATTTGAACTTCAAGAGGGCTGACTCCGATACAAGGCAATACAGAATTTGATGACACTGCAATCAAACTGATCGCGAACGTGGCTAACTCGTAAATGGTCTCAGCTACACAAATTTGGCAGAAATTGTGTTCCTCAAATCTCCCTTTGAACAGGTCGGCTTGGCTTGATAATCTGACCACCAATACTTCGAATGGAATCCTTAATGTCTGGACATCAACCTCATTGAAAGGAGCAGAAATGGTCCAGACGAAGTGCTCCACTTCATCCAAATTCTTGTTAAAATGCCAGCTGCCTCAATAGGATTGTTAAATATTCCCGTTTGTTTGTACCGATACTAAAAGGTCAATTAGATAGGGACTCTAAATGATCTGCTATTAACGTTTCTGTGTGTAGAGGTTTGTAGAATTTAAACATCAGTTGAGGTTTGGTAGAGCTACACAGTTTGAATCAAATACAAAGACCGTTACCACCCAAGCACAAAAAGAATAATGAGATATCGACACAGTGAGGCTGCCACTGCCGTAATTGGACCTAAAGTGATTAACCACCACGGATCTGTCAACTTCGTCGTTAGGAGAGCACTTTCGACACTGGAGGTTGTGATTGGTTGGTGATTGGGTAGGAAACATGGGTCTCTCTTGTGTTCCTGAAGGCGATTCCGTCATATCGAATTATAAATATTTGCAAAATCGAATAATCAGACACCGAGCTTTTAAATGTTCTACGAGCACGAGATTAGGATCCAAATAAACATCTTGAACGTTGTTTTTTTTGCGGTTTCAAGACTCGCTCCTTTGTACACTCACAAAGTAACAAGACATGATAAAAACGAAAGCTTTATTTACCAATTTGAATGTTGGCTTTGCACACGACGTCATTTGAACAAACTCCATCAAAATCGTGTTGACGCAACTTGTTTAAACATCATTGCTGTTAAAGTACAGGTTTTGTCGAGTATGTTTATCGGGCGATCACGCAATTTTAATCACCAAATATATTGTTGGCGAAATTAACATGACTGCGGTGGATGTCTAATGAAACACACCTGTTTGCCTGGCACTTGACCGATCTGCTGTTTGCCGTCTGAAGACACGACTTATCACGTACTAACAAATGTAGTAGGCAAGTGCGAATGCTGGGTTCTGTTGAAGTTGTACACATAGGAATGACTCACGTGCATACGAATTGAAGAATTCCCCGCGTGGAAAGTGTGCCTTCAGGCGGAAACGCTCAACAAATTCCGGTACTGGCACGTCGTCCATGACCTACAACGGCGATGCAAGTGTTTCAATATGATGCAATTCCAACGCCAAAGGTTCCAGGAAATTGGGACTCATAACTACAAGTGTTCGTATGTATGTGGATTACCTTGTCTGCAAGTAGCAAGTCCGAATTCCACGTAAATGTCACAGACTTTGGGGAATTCGAGTTGTCTGTATTCAACGACCGACAGCCAACGATGCCTGGTTGACGCTCCAGGTGCTGGAGATCTCCGCTTGATGCAACAGGCCATAGATTTGGAGGCTAAGCAGAATTAAAATGTCACTAATTTAGGTTTAAACACAGCTGATCCAAATTAGGTCAATGCTATAAAGTCTACGGACAGGTAAATGCTCGCAGCAGGGTGCAATCTGAAAGTGGCAATCATCGGCATGCTGTGATAAACAGACTCCGGTTTACCACCAACCAATCGCAACCCCATTCGTTAGGAACGACTGGGGGAATATATTTCTCTCGTGGAAGGCTCAGCACTATTTTAGGTAGTCTCCATGACGCGCTCAACATGACGCCGCATCTTGGTTCTATCGTCTGGACCGACACGGTTTTGGCTTTCGATTCTAGCTAAGCTCAAGACCGATCACCAAGCACTTTAAGCACCTCCACAAATTTTCCACCAATAGGAGAACGTCAACGCCTAGGATCCTAACTCAATTTTACCAGATGTCTTCTATCGACTCTCCGGTCTAATTCAACGCGGACGTGGACCTCAAGTCTCCGACCAAAATTCTGCTAAATTGGTAGACGGCCAATCAACATGAGGATTCACGTCCGTCACCACATTTTACACAGGAACGATTTCCGATAAACGCAGACATTCACCCAGAACTACCTGCATTAAAAAACTCCACGTATCCTCTGTGGTCGCAAAATGGTGACACAAGCACTCTGCTGTCCGTGGTCATGGACTAGAAATTTGATCGACAGGGTTGTTATCGGCATAACCGACGCTTGAAACTCCACCGTCTTTGGTATTTTTATTATTCTGTCGGCACAAACGTAGGATTAAAAAACACTTTCGACCGTCCGACAAGACTGACATCGACCCAGTGGTATTAACGTCAATAATTAATAGCCATCAAATCGAATTTATGAAAAGAAACGCCAATGAAGATGATACATTAGTGCGGGATTTCAAACATTCAGAGTTCCGATAGCGCGGAGTGGCGCCATGCTATTGAGAGTTAATTTAGACTCAACTGTTCAGCCGTAATGAATGCTTAAGTTTGGATATCCGATTGACATTAACGAACTGTATAACTACCGCGGACATTAGTCAAATAGAGCGCTTTGCTAGAATAGGCCAAAGATATCACACGAAACCACAATTAATTGTCAAGGAGGACAACTGACTTCGTTTAGTGTGTGTTCACTGACCACAAAAATTGTTAACGCACTTCAAGGTTAGGCTGTAGTCTGTAAACATCATAAATCAGTCATGACCATGCAGTTCTTTTTGTGGCTTTTTTAAAATTAGCTCCTAATTTTTGGATGCGCACTCGTAAATTGTCTTAAGCATAATTGAAATTCAACCAGGTATGAATTTGTTCCGTTTATAATTTGTTTAAATGGACAGATTGAAGACATTTAACACATAGCTCAAAGGAGCAAGATTTAGGACGCAGATTATCATTGCTTTTAGTGAAATCGTCAAGGTTTTGGTACTAAACAGTGCTCAGCGACAGGACAATTCTTGCGTTGAGGATCAAAAGCAAGCGAATTAGACAAATTCACTTACCATAGAGACAGACGACAGTTTGGCTTGTAGACCATCCATGTATTCACAGTACACGCGTTGAAGGCGATGGGCGAATTTTTTTGCCTAAAAGTTGAGCATGTGTAAAAACACTTGTCAAAGCGACCGAAAGTGATTGGCGCTAGGGTATAAACAATGCGTCCCACCTTCGACGACATTCTAAAGGCTGTAAATTTAGACGCAGGTTTGCTGGACTCCTGGTCCTTGCAGGTGGTGATTATGCCAAGGATTCGAGGCTCCTGCGGATGCACCCAAACATACGTCAGGTCGTCTAGTGAAGAACTGATTTTGACGTTCTACAGAAGGGGGGGCAGAAAGGACACATCTTAGAAATGACTTGTCCTAAAATTGATGGAGTGTCTGAAAGTACCTTCAAGATGTTATGGACAATGTCTGCGATACAACATAAAGCACCAGAATTACGACTCTTAGAGAACTTATTATTTTAAATTTAAAGCACTTACGTGGTTTTTATCCCTAGCAGTGATTCCATCATGATCAGCACACACTTTAACAGTCACGACCTTGCGATTCCCGGCTTCGTTGAGTTTGGTGATTAGAAGGTAGGCGTAATAACAGAGCTCATTGCCTTGACGATTCGGAACATCTTCGGTACCAAGATAAATTGCGTATTCGCTACATGTAGACTGGTGGGAGTTATCGACTGTAGCCCTGGGTCTCTTCAACTTTTTTAAAAAAAAATAGATGTGTATGGGAAAGTAGGTAAACATTTATTAACAAGTTACACCCTGTGAAACTTTGTTTACGACGGTTTGCACCGACAAAAATGTGAAGCACGAACTGATTTTAAATCAAAACTACCGAGGGCTTCAAAAAAACAGGAAAAGAAATAAGATTTATATTGGAACACGACATCTATAGCACTAACTGCAGGCACACGAGTGCTCGTTGCTTCGATAGCCAATATATCTAACCACCATTAAGAATGGTAGCATAAAATCTCAAATGCAAATTGTCTGGTTCTACATGAGCAAAACAGCAACACACACGTCAACGCAGAAGAAGAAATAATGTGCTTAAGAGCTACCGTAGTAGCTGCGCAATTTTAAAATCGGCCGTCTTCAACTAAAGGCAAAATATCGTTTTGTGAACAAACTACGACGATAAGCAAAAGAATGCAAAATGCAATTTCAACGTGCATTCACAGTTTAAAGTTATAATAATTATGTGTTCGGTTTGTAAATGAGTTCAAGTCAGTGACAGACATTAATACAAGAAAATATTTAATGAATAACTGTTGGCTTCAAGAAGCACGACTTCAACACATTCAATTCCAGTTTAAAGATAATACTCAAGCATTTCGAAATTTCAGAGAAATTCTTGGAATAGGACTGTCGAAAGAAATTATTACTGTCTAAGAACACGCTGATAAGACTGCAGCAAGAAAACTTCAAGAACATACCGAAGAAAAAATAGACGGGCTTGCAATGAACTTCGACATCAATAAGCAACGAATTCAGGAGAACAACTTAAGTTGCCACTCAAAGCAGCAAACAACCTTGAGATTGAAAAATTGTGACCTTTCGGATGATATTGCGATTATGTCGTTATGTACAGATTTAAACTTTAAAAAAAGTTATTTTTTTACCCACCTGTAATTATTTATTGTGGCTGACAAATTAAACTAATCTACAGCCCTAAATTTAGACTTGAAACTAGCATTAAAAACAATTTTTTTAAAAATTTCACCATGGATTAACTATTTTTTCTCACAAAGTACTAATACTTCATGGAAAGTCTAGGTTGTTTAAATAATAAAAAATCAGTAAAATTAATTAAGCTGCATATGCAATTTTGTTATTTATTTGTGATTGGTTTTTGTAAAAATAAAAATGCGTCAGATAAGTGTAGATAATAATTTGCCAGCCTGTGTTTCTTAAATTAAGTCAGAACAAGAGCTCACGTCTCCAACTTAAATGTGTTTTTCCATAATAATCTTTATTTAAGTCCTTGCTGCTAAAATGTAGTAATTCAGATCGATAAAGATCCCTTGATGATAGGGAAATCCCATGCTGGTATGAAATGTTTTGATTTAACACCAGCCCCATTTTAATACAATCCAAGACACAATAAAAGCACGAGTCAGTTTGCTATTAACAATACCAGAAGTTTCTGGTAATCGGTTCTAACAATTACCTCAGCTGAGTCAATTCAAAATAGTCATGTCTGCTTTGATTTGTAACTAACTAGACCTCTGTGATATTGCGTAACTCTAAACGCACCTAAATTACTAAGTATCATTATAAACACAAGTATGCCATTCTTGCTGCAGAGATGTTAGATAAATTTTAGTAAAAAAGTCACATAATACAAAAGGAATGAACTGAAATTTTAGAGATCCTATTTATCTGTCATTGTTACAAATAATTTAAAATTTTAGATTGAAGTGCATTTTTGAGGATTTATGCATCCATGAGGGAATCCCGACATCTCATAAATCATCAGTGGGGTAACAATGGCGATCGGACAAGCTAATTGTATTTACTAAATATCATGCCTAGCCATTAGACAAATGCATGCTTCAAAATAATGATATTTCTCTTAGCATTATACTTAATTTTCGCTTTTATTAAAAGAAATTGCTGAATTCACCCCTCTTGTTTTACTCCACATTTAATTTGCTACCCTTTTAAGAATTTTTCATCGAACGGCAAATTATTAGCTTGGCGTAATGATGCACATCCCCGATTCTTGGCTTGAATACGGTTTTGAATTTTCAAACCTACTGGGACCTACAGAAAATTTTATAATTGAACAGTGCACTAGGTATGGTATGTAACTTTCTGTCACTCTTGTATTGGTGACTTATATGCTACAGTCAGTCACTAATAAATCGGGATGTTTTGGAGTAGTAGGAATTTTAATTTATGACACTATCTACGTTGGTCATTTGAATATGTTTTACCTGGGAAATAAGATTGCAGGTCTTAAAGTCCTGGTTTACGTGCTCGGCAAATTCCCACAGCAACAGTAGTTGCGTATTGTTCTATTTTTTTGTTGCCTAATGTCGTATTCCTGGTGCAGGTAAAACTAATAAAATCTCATGGCGAAAAGTAAGATGTATATTGCCACTGTTGACACTCTAAACTATTGCTTTTGGCGGCTCCTGTTCAGGACTCAGTTCAAGCCAACATTTGTCGTGTTATCATGAAATGAAATTTTTTCAGTCGGACGTACCACCACCGCGTTGCCTTCCATATTTTTACCCCCCTGATATCCATATGCGTCCCTACAAGCCTTAGAGTTATTTTGCTGACTAGTTTTAAATATTTTACTTCAGACCCATCTGCAGTTCGTAACTGCCAATTTTTTCACACGGGCTAGTTTTTATATTTTGTGCCACATTGGGTGTGTATCAAAGTAGCATACTATAATTGTGGGCTCAGTATACATCATTTCACTTAAAATATGTGCCTGTGTCTTCACCTCTGCCGTGCTATAATGTTTCAACCACAAGCGTCTCTTTGAGGTTGTCACATTTACTGTTCATTAGTTAACACTTTGACCGTTAAACAACTTTCAGATCCGATAATGACATTTTACTGCCCAACCTCTGCAATGGCTATATCGGCATGGACCTCACCACACCATGGCTTTTCTTAGATGGAATTTATTCAGGAACGGGATCTGATAGCCATCGTGCTTCCATTCCATCTCCTGTTTGTTGGCTTCCAGAAGTTGAAGGGATGACTTGCCTTCGTAGATACACCCTGTTTCATTTCGGCATGGGTATTCATCTGACTACATTTGTCCAACCACCGCTAACTATGCTGTCGCCTAAAACTGTGATATTCTCTTCCTAGGTGTTTGTCTTGACGTTCAAACGTTCAACGGTTTCGACCTCTACACATCGACCTTCGTGAGCAGGGCCAGACCGCACCTTATTGTGCGTTGTGTGGAAGCCGTTTTCCTTGAAAGTCACACTACAAGTGTGGTCTTTAAGCCGAATCGGAAGGTGGACTGGGAGACGCCGGATTTTGCCACAACTGTCAAAGAAGCTAACGCGAGATCGTAGGCTTTTGTTTAAGACTTTTTCCTCCCCATTATATTTTTCTGCTTACTGCACTGCGTTGCCATTGTCTAGATACTTTACGGGCCAGGTCTACCAGATGGAAGACGCACACTTATTGCCACACATGGACAGTGTTTACATGATCTCTCAAGTAGTGTCTGATTTCAATGTGAACGGTATTTTACTAACCCGATCAAGACCATCGGTAACCTTCTTGACCACACTCAGTCGATGCGGTCATTCTGATGCATTGGAGGCTTTTGAGTCAGGTAGGCTTACGTTTCGATATACTCACGAATTTGCAGCTTTGAGCGTACAATTGTCGTCACCGGTTGGTCTGCTAACTGAAAATGCCGAGGCCTGGCTGCGTACTTGGTCCGCCGGTCGCATTGTCCTAACCACGGACTCCCCGGCGACGCACGGTAGAAACGAAAACTGGGAGGTGCTCGTGAACAAATCTGGTGATAGTGACAGTGTCACCAGCTGCGAACTTCCACAGTCCACGGGCGAAGGTGTCCGTAGTGCGTTCTCGCTGTCGCGGTGTCTCATAGCTGCGCAGTATGCTTTGCTCGCGTCCTTCCCTGACGTCATTCCCGACTACCTGATGATACCTCAGGGGGAAGGCTCCGCACAGCCTCTGAAGTGCGGATTCTTTGGGCTAAGTCCCTCAGGATTGGGCCGCGGCAGCAACGAACAAGACTACCAGGTTAGTCTCTGAGGCAGCATGAACCAGAGATCGAACGTCGGGTTATTCTGTCGTTATAATGCTCATGGCGTGACCCCCTTATCTTTAAGGGTCACGTGTTTTGGGACATGGATATTTGGATGCTTCCGTGGGTCTCTTTGCTGCATCCAAACTTCTCCGAATTGGCCTTCGACTACCGCCACGCAACTCTACGCAATGCTGAGCTTCGGGCGAAACGCGAGGGGCTCCA